TAATCATAAATCTGAGCACATATTCAAAACAATGCAATATAAATGTCTATAAAACTTATCAAAATCTCGTTAATCACTAGTCTTTGCAATTATTATCACTTTTTATAAGTCAATAAAAATGGTATTTGTCTCGAAAGCGACGATTACTTCTTGGGATGTGTTAAGTGGTGACGAGTTGTTTACAAACCGACAGTTTGTGACCAAAGCGTGTGTTTAGTGAGAGATTGGCTGCCATTTGGCGGACAATCACTGAATTATGAGTTATTTATAGTATTTGTAAATCAAACCAATTATGCAATCATTGAATCAATGACTCATTGAGTGAATCAAAACTCACTGAAAGACCGCAAAATAGTTTGCATTCAAAACAAAACAACCAAACGATGACTGAGTGAAAGGCAAACAAGTGTTGAGTGTATTTGCAAAACATATGAGTGTTGTTGAGAAATGTAGTCAAATATTGGCCACAAATGCAGTCAAATGGATGATTGCAGTGATGTGTAAGTGAACTGTGATTAACAGTTCAATTAAAACACATAACAGTCTTAACACTCATATGAACCGAGTATTGGTTGGCATTGAATGTCAACTCAAATACGCGTCGAAAGCCGATTGGAGTTCACGAGTGGTGACGACATTTGTGTCTCGCATTCACTGCACTGTTCACTGCATTCAATGCATTCAATGCATTGGATCGACAATATTGTGATGCAATCCACTGTCCCTTCACTTTTGAGCCATGCATTGATCGGTTGATTCAGTTATCATAGACAGTGAATACACCCTTAGATTCATTGCATGACATATGGCTATAATGTATTGGTGTTCATAATGTCATTGTCATTAATTAGCATTGCTTACTATTACTATTCATTCATTCAATCTGACAAGTGCAGTACTTCTAATTTAAATGAGCATGCATATTCCACAATACATATTAATATTTCTTATACAGTATCTATACGTACAGTAATTAGTATATAATATATTAACATAAAATGAAACAATATTGAATTGAATATTAATTATTGTGTCAGTACTATACCAGTACTAGATCTAGTTAATAAATACAAATAATTATTGATTGTACTGTATTTCGTAACCTAGAAATTACTGTAACTCTAGTTTAATTCATACAAACAACAAGCCATACAATTAATTTTAAAACCTAGATTAATGTAATATAAACTATTATCTAGTAACCAGGGTTTATTATTGATTGAGTCACACGTATTTCATCACAAATAAAACTTAATCTAGATAAATTGCATAACTGCATTTCATTAATGATTGCAATACACATACAGTTTAACTTATTTACATAGACTATAAATTGTATAATAAATTCTTGATTGTATTTATATATAATTAATTCAATTTGTAATACTTGATTAGAAATTTAAATCATAATAAATGAATGTGAACATTATAATATTTAGACACTACTTACTAATTGCAATTAAATTTATAATGAATGTCAAGAATATAGTCTCAATATATCAAACTCAAGAATATAATGGTATTAACCATTAAATGAACACATGTCTGAATCAATTGATTACTGATAATTTGTCAAATGAACTTGATTAATCAAATTCAATATATCACACAATATCATCTGATAATTAATGCCATCATTTAGACCACAATTAAAGCCAAAACTCGCGGAATATTCTGTGAAGTTGTCAAACAATGAATGTAACGTTATTTGTGGACAATTGTGCTCAACATTGCGCTCTTCACACGAAATCGTATTGAAAAACAAAACTTTAAATTGTATTCAAAGTTGTGTTGAATTAGTAGTGAATCGACAGTTGATTGCAATTATTGACACAATCAAGTGATGCCTGAAATCGCTTTCGAAAAGGTCTCGGCCTTCAGTTCTGAAGATGCGGTGAGTTTGGGCTCAGTTGTGACCCATTGATGACCATTGAATTGATTGTGTGAATTGATTCCCAATGAAAGGCCAACCAATTGTTTGCCAACAATTTGCTCAAAACAAAGGACTTTAAGTCTTGGAAATGTAGGGAATGGGAGGATAAGAGTCACGTGATTCTCGAGACCACCGATGCTTACAAAGTGGATAACATAGAGATAGGGAACGACTGTTCGGCGTTTGCGGAGGTTCTTGTGTCCAACACGAGTGCCCCAAACGCCAGGTTTCAGGTCCTGCTGTCGACGTCTTCATTCATGACCCCATCCGACAGCAAACAACTGC